CTATTAGGAACACGTCTGACACTTCTGCAAGCCCAATTCATTTATCAATTTAAATAGCTCAAAAGCAGTACAGTGGAAACTATGATTTAATTTCCGTTACAGCCTCAAATCGACCACAGCATGAACGCATCAAGTCTGATTATTCTCTGAAATAATAAGGGAAAATATACATAGAGACAAGTTTTGAAGGTACACTTTGGGCTGCTAAGAGGATTGCGAGTATATGATTAACTACCACAACAAATGAACTTTAAATTGTGACCATAAAAAAACAGTAACAAAAACTTAGTCAGCTATAACAACACCTAGTTTTTCAGTTCATCTGAAATATGCGATGAAGGTACTCGAAAGCGTTCCACTATCGTAGAAAGTTTACTCTCTCAATGGAAGGTAGCTTCAGGTAGATAACATCCTATATAGACAGCTAACCCTATTTAATTCGATTCTTTAAATCCCATTTTAGATTGGGGAGCACATTACAATTCACATTGACAACTTCTATCACCTGTTGCCATGGCTGCCAATAAAAGAGCATTGCACATATTTGTGCTGATTATAAAAAAACCGCAGCAGAAATACAGAAAACAGAATTGAAGAATATAAAGCAGAATCCCTTATATACATACATATATACATATGTATGTATTTGTATTAAGAACTGCTAAATCAAAGAGCGAAAGGCGAAAAGCGTTCACGCATATGGAATTTGTATATTCAGACCCTTATATAGCTCCTCCGCCTGAAAAATGGTGCTGTTAAAAATGAAATAGAGTTTTCTCACATTGAATTAATTGTACTAATTTTAAGTAGTTCATTTTATTTACTTGTATTTTCCAGTAAGATTGTATACCTTTATTATTTTATTTTGCCTATAAATCCAGACTCTTTCATTCAATATACGATTTTCCTCGAGCACCTCTCATATCTGCTTTATTTTCGTGCCAGTTCCCACAGATATTGACAATGGATCAAAGGCGATATCCAGTGGACTTAAGGCAGCGACCTATCCTGTTCGAGAGTAAGCCTTGCAGGATAGCAGCATTTAGTTGATTACCGACTTGGTTCGATGATGAATTCCAATGTCCAACAGCCACTTGATGGATCATATTAAAATCCGTTCCAATCGAATGAACTGCCAATTCCCTCATCTTCTTGCTCTTTCCACCCCCCCATACATGCTCATCCTATCCCAATGCTTTCTCCGCCTTCTTCTCGCTCTCTTATTCGGTTATTTCTTTGCGTTCCGTCTCCTTGCTGGTCCACTCTGTTCCACTTGAGCTGAATCTGAATCCTTTGGTCCAAGAAAAACCTCTTTGGGTCAACTCCTTGATGGCCACCAAAAGTGATTGGGTGAGACGGGCCAAACTATCAAGGATAAACAATCGATAGCACGAGGAGAGGCAAGTGGGCAGAGGAAGGGTGCTGGGAAAAGCGTTGCACCTCGTATTATGAGGGGCAATTTATGGCCACACTTGTGGGAATACCAAACGAAATTGCAAATATTTTGCCACATACATACATACATACATATGTATGTATGTGCATATATCTATGTACCTATGTATGTATATGTGATTGTATGTGTGTGTGTGTATCCGTCTATTTCTCATGTCTATGACAGCGGAGGCGAAGCCGCAGCAAAGTGCCGCAAAAATATGCGCCAAAAGCATGCAACCTGGCGTGGGGCACACTGGGAGCTGAAGAGGTGGACTCGGGCTGTTGGCCATTGCAACATGTTGCCTTTGCCACTGAGCTGTTGTCTTGCTATATTGTTTCGAGCAGAGCGCATCAATTTCTAGACAAATTTAACAGAGAACACACACACACACACACAACAAACAACACACAAAAAAAAAAGAAAAAGAAAAACCAAAAAGGCAGCAGCGGGAAGGAGCGGGGGCAAATACTCGTCCGAGTAGGTGGATCTGGCTGCGCTTCATGTGCACAATATCAAATTTGAAACACAAACACCGCACGACTAGACTAGCCCGGCCAGAACGGGATAGATGAATAGAGGGGACTGCAAGTGGGGAAGTGGGATGTGGGAAGGCGCCAAGGATTCCCCCGATGCAGGCGCTTAAGAAGTTTCAGACATGAAATCAATTTGTCTTCCAACTCCCACGAAAAAGAAAACGAGCCGAATCCAACGGCAAATGCAACGGCAACGCTCTCAGTCTCAGTCCCAGACACAGACACAGACACAGCCACAGAACCACCCGCACACCCGCACACCCACACACCCACACTCGACCCCAGGCCACACCAGAGCACAAGAGAGCAGCGACGAGAGCGGGGCCAGAGCAGGGAAAGCAACCCGAAAAAGGAATGAACGCAGCCAGCAAACTACTGCAGAAAAACAGTTCACAGTCAACGCACAACGAACACGAAATACTCTATCCTAAGTTAAGCAAAGAGTTCTTCACGCTTACGAAAATGTACTATTAGGGACCTTCTCATTTGTGAATACATGTTCCAGGGAAAGAAGAACTTTGGCTTTGGCTTTGGGTTTGCTCCAAGCGCAGACATTTCATATCCAGAATATGTTTTCTTTGGAAGGCTTTATTAGCGACCCCCTTCGATTGGGATATCCTCGAGTAACAGTTCTACGAGTACAGGTATTATTTACTTCTCCCTTAATCTGTTTCGGTCTCTTTTTTGCGTTCCCCATATTCCCACGTATACCCGTCGTGGAAGGCAACGAATGTCAGACAACCAAAGAAGCATCCAGGGCCCAGGCCCGACTCAGAGTCAGAGTCAAAGCCAGTCATGTGGCAACACACACACACACACACACACACACACACACACGAACATACTGACACACATGTGAAACGGTTTCTGGTGTTGCAATAACTTGTATTTTAAGTTTACTCACTGCTGGGATTCAAAATTTAATTTCATAGTGCGGTGCGTTGTTATTATTTTGCATAATAACATTTCTGGGCCCGGTTGCGTTCACTCAACCAACTCGGAATCCCTCCCGACCCGTCCCCGCATCGCTCATCCTCCTCATAGCGGTATGTGGGTCGGAATTCGCAGCCCAACGGAGAGAGGTGGAAGTATCATCACAGGAACTGTGTCTGCCTGAGGACTGAGACCATGGACTGCCCAATGGTCCGATTGTGCACAGCAGGTACTCAATAATGCCTCATCAACATATCAACATTCCGATGTGTGCGGCCGGCCGGGTGCTCGCATCTACGCTGAGCTAATCAAAATTTGAGGGAGGCCATCGACAGCTGACCACAAATCAACGCCACCACCAGGTCACCCATTAACGTATTAAGCCTCAGGGCAAGTGACAAAATCAAGTGACTCCTCTCTAGTATCGTTTATGACGTTATCGTTCAGGGGACACCGCAAGAGATTGCTCATTGGGGGGTGCTCGAGGGCTTGAGAGGTGTAATCTAATGGGTGCTAGGACTGTAGCTCAAACGTCAGCTAGTCCGGCTAGGTCAATATTTTCCCCCAATTTCCTGAATTTATCCATTCTAATCTTTGTCGAGAAATAAAAAAAAATAAAAGCAAAGAAAAGAGCAATCATTAAATTAAATCTCTAGCCATGGGGAAAGCCTATGAAGAATTCGTTTGGATGGATTTTTATCATTTATCATTGGTTTTAATCAATTTACACACATACTCGTTTGTTCATTGATATCAGAAAGAACGAGGATAAAGCGGGGAAAGCGTGAAACCCCAAGAACTCTTTGAGTTTCTTTCTCATAGAGAAATGGTTTACAAACAGAAGAGGCACAGGGTGAAGCAGAATCTCTCAGCATGGATGCCATGGGGTCAGGGTTTCCCCTGTGCACTTTGGCAGCGTCAAAATTGTTTATTTATTGACGATTCACAGCACGCGCCGTGCCAAGCAGATCATCAAAAGTTATTGTAAAAATGGTCCTTCGCCCACGTAATCCTGCTCCAAGCCCCCACATGCATTTTTACTGTTTTAATAGATTCATAAATTAAACTAAACAAAAAATAAATCCCGTAAGGGTAACCGTTACACTTGCGAGAAGAGGGCTGCAGTTTAGTGGTGGAAAGGGCGCGGGACAAAGGATATGTTCAGATCTCCGCGGGACGTTTGGGGATAGAGGCAACTTCCGTCTGACTGTCAAAGTTTGAGCTTCTTTCGCGACTTTCGTCTTCCGCTGCTCCCCCGTGCCTCCTCGGTACTGGCACTGTGAAATATTCATAGGAGTTAACGGGGAGGCGAGACTGCAGCGAACACTTTCCCGACACGGACAGAGCACAGACGCACAGACACAATTTCAGCACAGTCATAAAGCAATAAAACGAAATCATGTGTAGAAATTTTTTTTAAACGTAAGTTCGGTGTATCATCCAAGTGCCAAATGTTCCTTTGAGTAGTGGAAGGTTATTGTGTCGCGCAAATCCCTGCAAAGAACTTAAGGTTTTATCTCAATCTCCCAATCGTTGTGCCAGACTTTTTATCATTTTCCGCTGGGTGGCTTAGCCAGGCTAAACCCCAGAAACCTTTAAGAAAATAAGAAATACTTTACCATTGGCGGGGATCTTCAGCTATCGGACTATTGCCATAAACTTCTGGATCTGACAAAAAATATTTAGTTAAATATTGCCGTTTGATATTCCCCTGAGATAACCGAATAGATTTTATTACGCTAACTGCAGTAAGTTTCGCAGTACGAAAATGTTTTTTGAAATCTCAAAAAATGTTCTATGGAACTAGGAACTAGCTTCATCGTTACGTAGTCTTGACTCCAAACAAAACGAGGTAAAGCTCCAGTTTTCCTAATCAGTAGCAGCGTATTGGATTAACTTATGTACATAAACCCAATCGGTAATGCCCGCCACTGTTTGCCGTGATGTGTTCCATGTAATGTTTGCCCAGAGAAAACATGGGCGGGGGAACATCTGTGCCTGGCCCAAGTCGAGCTAATTGGCAGTGGTATATATAGGGCCGGTAGTGGCCGGCAATGTCAGTTAGAGTTGTTCATTCAGTCTACCAAAAACCAAAAATGCGCGTCTTCATCCTTATTGCTCTCCTTGCCCTGGTCGCTGTGGCTACCGCCCAGAGGTCTGGAGGTCCCCCGCCTGGTCGTCCCGGCGGACTCGGAGGTCCACCCAGTGGCCCGGGAGGGCCACCACCCAGGGGTCATGGAGGACCACCGCCACATGGTGGCCATGGAGGTCCACCCGGCCATGGCCCGAACGGTAATTCTACCGAGGCTCCAGCATCGGAGGCTCCATCCTCTGAGGCTCCATCCGACGACTCTTCCTAACCGGGAGCAGATCGTATCTACAGCTCTATAAGGTCTTTACCTAGATTTCTCTACTCATATGTACATTGTACATACACATGTGTGCATGTAGTACGATTTATCTATATAGTAGAAACAAATAAAGAGCTTGTACATATGCAAGTCCTTCTGCAATTTCCATCCAAAAATCAGTGAGCATCTGGGGGGTATCGTTCTTCTCACAGAGAACTCAAGAGTCCTGTCAAAGGGTGGTCGGGTGCGGGAGGGCAGAAGAGGAGGCGTGTCTCAAATCGGATGCCTAAATAAGAAATCATTTTATTTGAAAAGTTTCGTTTTCGACGCCCCTCTGCCCGCCCACGCTCTCACTCTCCCGCCCCCCTGCCGCTGAAAGATGGGCTGCGTCAGCGACAGCTTCGTCTGCGTTGGCGACAACAGCAACAGCGGAAATAACAGCAAGAGCGTCGACGTCGACAAGGGCAGATGCAGAGGCAGAGGCTGAGGCAGAGCAGAGCAGAGCACATGGCACAAGTACGAAAGCAACAAAGCGAGCAACTGAACAGCTAATTGGCCAGTCTCCAGACCTCAAAATATCCTCTTTTTTCACAGTTTTTTCTTGCTGGCACTTGGGTTGGAGCGAGTTGGCTTGTGATTAAATGAGGTAACACATAAATGAGCAAACATCAGGGGGCAAAACTGTTGCAATTACTTTTAAAATTTGCATTTATATTTTAAAACAATTAAAAACATTTTTGCCTGTTCCGCGAAAATGAAGAATACTCTCGCACTGGGCAAGCCTTATAGAGGGTACCAAAATAGGAGCAAGAAGAGAGGGCATGGCAAAAGCAACAAAGTTAAACTGTAACAATAACCAAAGTCAAAGTTTGTCGGCAAAGTTTTCCCTTTTTTTTTGTTGTTGCTCTTCTTGTTGCGTATGTGTGTGCGGTGTGTGTGTCGGTGTGTGTGTGCAGGAAACAAATTCATTTCAATTGTTTATATGTATAGAAGTGGTGCCAGGGAAGAGTGTGGGCAGTAGAGTGAGAAACAGCAGAAGATGAAGAGGGAGAAGGAGACGAAGAATCTGTGTAAAATGAGTTGGATTTTGATACTCTTGCAGAGGGCATTATGATTTTCACGAGAACATCAACACCCAAAATGAAGCATCTCCGATCAGTCCGTCAGTATTTTTTCTTTCTTCGCAATTACCCATCTGGCTGGTCCGTGGTTCCTTGCTCACCAAGGATATAGCAACCGAATGTTTATAGAATGTTGCATAACGGAGCTAAAAATAAATAAAATCAGATGCCAATACCATGGATACCCATGGTACATGGTACACATCTGAGAAAAGTTAATTGCAAATTCATTCATTCCATTGAACGAACTGTGTGTAAGGGTATCAGCAGATTCAACCCGTTCGAGGCTGGCCTTTCTTTCTGGTTCCCGTTGAGCTTTTCCAGATGAAACGAGCTCCGTGTAGCTGGGTGGAGCAGACCGACCTCCCCTGGGCCAGAGCCAGCACCAGCACCAGAACCAGGACCAGGACCAGGGCAGCATACCTGCAGACTTCTTTCGATTCACTTTCTGTTTTGCAGCGAAATGGCAAAGAAATGCAAATAAAAACTTTTGTTGTTGCTCTGTTTTCTTTTTCCTTTGCGTTGGTTTTGGCTTTCCTGTCGATTCGACTGCACCATGGCCCTTATGGGGGCCTGGCCGGGACGGGACGGGCCGGGCCTGAAATCAAATAAGCAGAGAACAAAGTGTGGGACATTTTAATTGTACCCAAAATGCAACGAAAATCGTTAAAATTTAAAATTTGAACTGCCCCACAATTTGTCTGTTCTTTGTTCTGTTTCCGCATTGTTCGAAAGTGAAATTGGGTAAAAATCGAATGTGGCAATACTCGTATACTGAAAATGTAACTTCTTTTCGTTCTCCGCTAATTTGTGGATTAATTGTAATTAAAATGGAATTAAATAATATACTCGTAAATAAATATCAGCGCTGCTGTAAAGCTCTTAACAATTTTCGATTTAATAGTTCCGCTTAAAGGTGAATAAAATGACGTAAGAACGCAGCTGTAGGCTTTCGATCTGCGAGCAGGGGAAAGGAGAAACAGGCCAAAACTTAATTACGAATTTTGATAAAACGAAAAACAAACAAAACGAATCGCCTTTAAATAAAACACCAAGACAGTTTATTTCAATTACCAACAACAGCTTCATTGAATGCGAATGCACACATCTTCGAATGCGACAGATGGAGATAGAGATCTGGCCAGGCTAGGAGGAAAAGGAAAAGGCATGAGCTGGAAATAACCAAACGCTTCCCAATATTGCAAATGACAGTCGAGTCAGGGCAAACACCAGACACAACCAGACACCGACACCACAGCATAAAGGATAAAAGGATAAAAGGTACAGGAGGGAAAGCTGAAACGGAAACGGAAAAGAGCAGAGCTTTTAGAAATTTTAATTGCGTAATTATACACATACATACATACATATGTATGTATTTGCCTATGTACATATATATCGAATAAAACAAATTGATTAATTAATTAATTTTAGTATTTATATTGGTTTCAAAATTTTTCTTTTAAAATCCAAAGGAAAAACTTTTTATTTTAAATATTCCATATTAAATGAAATCAAATATTTTTTGTATTTATTTTAACTATGTTTATATCTTTTTTTGTATGTCCCTCGAATTCCCAACTGGTTCGCGCTGCTGCAGCCTTGAATACAAAGTAAAATTATCTCTGCGCAGGGGCATAATCACAACCAATGCAGTCCTACTCATGTTTCGATTATTTCTAGTTGAAAACTTTAACCAATTCACACCATGAGGACTTGAAATGTAATTTGCGTACGCAAAATAATAACCGATTAGTTAAAAATGAATATAAATATAAATAAACATATAAACATATGAAACATATTAGATTTAAATATTAAACATATTAAATTTAAATATGAAGCATATTAAATTTAAATATGAAACATATTAAATTTATATATGAAACATATTAAATTTAAATATGATATATATTAAATTTAAATATTTCTATATTAATATCATAATTTAAGTGAAAAATATTCAATTTTAATACAACCACTCTTGGATGAAAATCAATGGCATAAATATTAAAATCTAAGTGAAAATATTAAAATTTCAGGGCTTTTTTCTATCGGTGTATGTATATATTTCCGTGGCTTTCGTTGTGTTGAAACTTGCACTTGCACAACGAGTAAGTAGAAGGCAAAATCTTATTCAAATAAACATAAAACACACAGCGTGGAATGTCTCTAATACTTTAATAGCCCAAACAGAACAACGGAAAAGTCAAGACTATTGTCGAAACATTAATTTAAACTTGTTTTATGAAGAGCATTTCATTTTCTTTAAGATTGATGCACATTCCAGAATTTTCATTTAATAACAATATCGACTCCAACTGCCGCACTGCACCGCTGCACTCCACCGATGCACTGTTGATGTTTATCCAACAGAATACTCGTATTTCCGCTGACGCCGTTCACTTGGGGAAGCATCAAGCAACATTATGCAAGCATCTAACGATGGCAAATATTTTGCATTCGCCAGCGATAGATGTGGACACAACACCGATTCTCTCAGATAGACCCGACCAGAATGCGGTCTGCCAGCAGTCTCTGGCTTATGTAAGGCAAACATCCCCGAACAGCTGTTTGATCCGAGCTCGAAGCGAGATGGGAAGTCGAGGTGGGTCTCTAGACGGCGCTGCCCAAGGCCAGTGCCATTGACTGGAGCGTGTGGGGTTTACCTAATTCCCACTGACGTTAGTTTGCTCAGCCTGCACACGTCATGGATGAAACACTTGTGGGGGGCTCCGCTCGACGCGGTTACTTTCCCCAGCTCTTTTACAATGGCAACCTCCGTCGGGGGGGAGGAGCGGGCTGTGTGCCCGTCCGTATATATAGTGCCCAATGTGGGTGCTAAGGTCAGTCGGAGTTGTCTGCCACAAACAATCGAACACCGATAAAAAAAACCAAAAAAATGCGCACATTCATCATTGTCGCTCTCTTAGCGGTGGTCGCAGTGGCTGCCGCTCAAGGACCTGGTGGTGGTCGTGGGGGTCGTGGGGGTCCAGGCGGACCTCGTGGCGGTCCTCCTGGTGGTCGTGGAGGTCCCCAGGGTGGCCCAGGAGGCCCAGGAGGTCCAGGAGGTCCCGGAGGTCGCCCAGGAGGTCCCGGAGGTCCAGGAGGTCCCGGAGGTCGTCCAGGAGGAGGTCCTGGAGGTCCTGGAGGTCCGGGAGGTCCATGGGGTCCATGGGGCCCAGGCGGTCCACGTAACAGCACAACAACCACGACCACAACAGCGGCAAGCTCCGCCAGCACAGAGGCGAGCACCGAGGCGAGCACAGAGGCGAGCACAGAGTCGAGCACAGACGCCTCAACCGATGCCAGCACCTCGGGAACCTATTAACATGCTCCAGATCTGGCTTAGTGCTCTGCTCCTAGGCTATTTCCGAGTAAATTTCCAGTAATTAATAAAAATGCACGTACATTTTCGCACATTGAACAGAACGGAGCGTTGTCTTTGTACCACGGCTTTGGGTAATGATGGGGCAGGCCAGGCTGTGCGGCCGGCCAATTTAACATAATCCGCTTATTGCTGGTGCTGATGCTGGCGCTGATGCTGGTGCTGATGCTGGTAAGGAAGGCCAATTGTTTGACCTGTTATCAGCAGTTAAGTGCGAAGTAGTTTCCAATCAATTCGAGCATTAGCATGGCTTACCTATGCCGGTGCTAATGATGCATGCATGCGCCATGCATGCACCTTCGCTCCATCCCATCAAATCAATTAGTCGAAGGCGATTACCGATTCATTGTGGCTGGAAATAAGTCAGCGTTCTCTGTCCAAAACAAAGCAACGCCAAACAATGGCTCGATCCCCGAAACAGCAGCAGCTGCAGCTGCAGCTGGAGTAGTGCAGCATTCTCGGCTGGCCATTCAATCATTTTCCGTCTAATTGGGAATTAAGTTGGGCTGCCTACCTGCCGGCCTGCGTGCCTGCCTGGCCCTGTTGGAATAATTTTCTATTTTATTGTATTTGGTCAATTTCCGATGAATCAACATCATGTTACCTTGCCGTAGTTCGTCCACGAACAGCTTCAGACAGCTTCATACATAAATATGTACGTGTAAGATGAGGGAGAGAACAGGACACGACGGGACAGAGCTTAGCAGGAAGAGCATGGAGTAGAGCATCTACAAGAGGACTAGGAGGCATTAGGAGCTACTATACATATAAAACAACAGGATTATGGCTTTGCAATAGCAAACACACACACACACACACAGCAGTGCGACACCTTCATGTCGAACAAATATGTAGACACACATATGTAGGTACAGTTGTGCTCAATGAAATAGTAGTGCCGCAGGTCACTACTTTCCAAACTCTTTTTGAGACACTTCCAGCTATCCAAATTGAACAAATTATAATTTTTTAATTAGGCTGGAGTGTTAGCATTGGAAAATTGAACAAATACCTATACATTTGAATACATTTGAATCTTCTTGTCTTACATGTCATAAGTCGAATACCAATGAAATAGTAGTGTTTTTTTTAGAAAATTGAAAAAAACAACGAAACTCAAATGAAACACACATATTATATGTTCTTCATGTTTTTTGAGCTTTAATATTTAGTTTTAAATTAATTGGGTTTTCATTGCGAACTTGCAGCGGCCGGACAAGGGTCATTAATCTCTTGCCAACGCTTCAATGGGATTTGAGCCAATAATCCTTAAACCACTTGCTAAAACTTCGCTCTCGCTGACGGATTAGCAGTTGCTGCAATGCAATTGGCATTCCCCCATAACATTTCGATGAGAGTTAGATCCAGTTGGACAGTTGGACCTGACAAAACGTCGATCTTTTCCGGTGAAACCCAATTCCCCAACCCGAGCTTTTGTGAGTGTTTTAGGTCATTATTCTGTTTTATTGTTGAATGTAATGTATTCTTAAGTATGCCTACAAACATATGTAGTTTTGATCAATATGGCATAAGTTCAAATGAGACCCATAGGGCTCAGCCCAGCATACCCAATGCTATTTTTTTCGTGATTCTGGGTGGTAATTGGATTTCTGTGAATGCCAAACATAATCTTTTGAGTCTATCTTACCATATAATACAACTTTACTATTCTTAGTCAATAGTATTTTTGTCATTGTGAACACAGGCCATGCCACATGCGTTTTTTCCAAACTTAAGTCGTGCACCCATGTACTCTTAGATCCAAACGCGGAGCATTCTGGGACTTCTTGCATTCAAATAATGTGTAATCAACCGTCTACGAACTGTCACAGCACTGGCAGAGCGATTTACATTTTTTTTCATCATTTTTGAGGATATTGAATGCATGGTCTTGCCTTCGATCATCGCCGATCATCCTCCAAAAAAGAAGTTTTTCGCATGCAAAATTGATTTTTAGTCTACTTCTTGTAGTTAATTGGGTTAAATACAATAGTGAAAGTGCATGCAACTTAGTTTTCAATCCCATTATACCTCCTGCCTTAAGTTTTTAGTCTAACTCTAAGGTCTCCTCTTCTGGACCGAACAATGCTTTCTTCAACGCTCCAAAATCAAAAGTACCGCTCTGTGCAAAACTTTCTTTCATCAAATTATTCGATATCCAAATTGATCTTACGGGTGGTGGCTTGTTTAAATTAATTTGCTTTGTTTTTTCATTTTTCAAAATTATTTTAACTATTTCATTGAACAGCAGATATCATGGGTAGTTGTCTAAAGTCATGAAAAACAAGAAGATGGAATGCAAATGTAACGGGGTTTCTTCGAGTTTCCAATGCTTACATTCCAGGCATTCCGCAAAGGTTTCACTTGTTCAATTTGAAAGACTAAAAATATCTCAAAAATAGCTTTGAAAGTAGTGACCTGTGGTACTACTATTTCATTGAACACAACTGTACCTTAGGGTGGACCGAAAGTCCCACATTTTTTAATTTGAATGCATTTCGGTAATAGAAAGAATATAAAGAAAGGTACGACTGCCAGCTAGTTTTTGCATGTTAATTTGCGGTCTATGAACGGCTTTTTTTCTTTTCTTTTTGGACAATTGGACTATGACTACTCAAATTTTGCTTAACTTAACCAAAAGTGAATATTTTGACCTCAACGCGCGAGGGCCAAACGTCAACCGATTTCAAAAATTTTGTTTTCCCTCGTTTAAGAATCCCTTAATACAACTTTCTATTAGCTGGCCGACTTTAAATTCAAATATTTTGGACTTTCAGCCCACTCTAAAATGTATATATGTATTTACATCCAAATGTATGTACTGATTGAAACTAGAACTGAATTTAAAGTAAGCTGCCCCTTAAAGTGGTTTTATTTTTCTTTTGCCAGGTGACACTCTGAGATATGAATCGCCAACTACAGTGCACCCTGGCTAAAGGTTCATTTGTTCCATGTCTTAATCGTTGATGGGGGAAATAAACAATCACTTGACTCGTCGCGACGATGATTGAAGATCATTCCGATCTTCACATCTGTGAATCTACTCGGCAGTAGAGCAATTCTTTTTCTGTGTGTTACATTGCAAATGAAAGTGGACCGGGTCAAGTGTCAATGTCAATGGGTCAAAACCATTTTGGTGACCGTGATTCTGCAGTGGGCAGTGGTGCGCCGCCTTATCAAATCACGCTTCATTCGTTCAACAATTAGCACCGATAACGAATTTATGGCCAGGACATGGAGTGGGGTCAATTGAGTTGGACTGAAGTGGATTCGAGTGGAGCATTCACACGTAATAACAATTACAGATGCGCGCGCTCCATAAATCAAGCGATGCCATCTCCCCCACTCTCTTTCACTCTCGCGCTCTCTCTCCTCTGGCCCGCTTCCCATTCCAGATCTAGCCAGATCTCCCCGTCGGCTGGCAGCTCCTAGGCACTAATTACAATTCAGGACGCGTTGCACTCGAAAGTTGTTGCTCAACACTGGGAGCGAGGCGAGTGGCAGAGAGGCAGAGGCAGAGGCTGACGACGAGTGCTGGCGGCCTGATGGGGCAGAGTGCTTAACTTCAAAGTAGCATTGCCCATCCACACTCCTTTGTGGCTCGCGCGTGGTCGCCTCCATCCCGAAAGTGTTGTTGTAATTAAATTATGTGTCAAGTGACGTCGTCGTAGCTGGGGCCCAGCCCAGCCCAGCCCAGACACAGTACCCATCCGTAGCCCGTCCTCTGTCGTTGTCGTTGCCTTTGCTGCTGCTGCCTTTGCCTTTTCTTTTGCCCCGTGCCATCTCAGATGTTGTGGCAAATTAAGTTTGCTTTTGTTCTAGATTAAAAAGGCATTGAAATGTCGGCAAGGACAGCTAGAGGAGGGTGCCTGCCAGAGAGAGGGTGGCGGGGTAAGCGGCAGTTAAAATGACGCCTTCGGCCAAATTTAGTTTGTTAAGTTTGTTTTGCCGTGGGCGTCAGTCAACTCCAGCCAGCTCCAGCTCCAGCTGTAGCTCCGAAGGGTTCCTCTTCCTCCATTGAATGATGAAGTACCCAGTGTGGGCTTAGGGATCGGGGGTGGGTGGGCATAGGCAGACAAAAAGGGTGTCAGGGTGAGAGAATGAAATTAAAAATCAACTCGGAACGAACCAAGCCAAGCACTTAAGTAGCTGACCAACTGAGTAATTGAAGAAACTAATTGGAAATGATAGGACGCTTGCTGTGGTAGGTTGGTGCGAACAGGAACAGAAACATTCACTTTCCTCTTCACTTCAGATATCCCCCCCGCCCCCCTGCCCCAAGTGGCTTGTTTTCCCTTCTCTGAATTCACGTACACGGACTGTGGACTGTGGACTGCGGACGCATGCGGAAATCTTCCAGAGTTCACAAGCTTTTCCAGCTCACCTAAATTAAGTGATTTTTATGCGAGGCTGTTTTTGGATACAACTTTTAGCTTTATATATTTTTTTCATCATTTCTCCAGTTTTTCTATTCCCTCCAAAAAATAGGATTTGTCGGGGTCCTTAAAGTACGCATTTGTTGAAAGAAGACTTCGTCATTGGACTCAAATCTCTTACCGGCGAGCCATTTATTCCGGCTTGGAAACAGGAGATAGTCACCTATGACTAAATCCAGAGAATAGGGTGGGTGAGTGAGCAACTCGTAGCCTAATTCATGAATTTTTGCAGTGGAAACTGCACATGTCTGCGCCGTTGCATTTTTCTGGTGGAAAGGATTTTTTTCTTGGCCAAATGCTGTCGTTTCCTTTTCAAATCCTCATTAAATCGATCCAATAAGTTGGCTTAATATTCGCCATTGTCTGTTTTACCCTTTCTGCGGGTTAATACCGCGAGCATTCCAAAAAACGTCCGCCATGACTTTATTGGCTGAAAAACCCCACTGTGGCCTCTGCCACGCGGCAGCCATCTTTCGGAAAGCTTTCTCCTACCCAAGTGATCAGTTAAAAAATGAAACCACTTCGCCATGTGATTGCCTATGCCTTACAGAATATCTTGAAAATTCAATCTCCGTTTGGCCAACACCTCATCGTGAATTTGACTATATAACTGGGCGTCCAGGATGTGCGGCATCGTTTGTGCTTGTACGGGCACAATGAAATACAATAAACCACTTTTATACCATTGAAATAAATGCAGAAGAGATAATATTTATATTTATATTTATCTTATAATATTTATCAAGCTTTTCCGTGGTAATTTTTTTTGGGCTAAAAATAATGCTTAATCAACACACGAAATTACCTTTTTTTTCCAGTTTTGTTCTTCAAAGGACGAGGAAGCTTGCTACAAATGGCTGTGGACCACAAGCAAACTGGCGCAGCTTATTCAAATTTTTACAGGAACCATCTAATATATGTATGCCCATTGCCATATCAATTAAGTGGCGGGAAATTCAAATTCGATCCGCCTTCGTATCCATAAAGTGGATCGAAATATCAAGTTGACTCGCATGAAAATATTATAATCTTCACATATTAATATCCAACGGATATACCGCTTAAAAAAAACCAATCCTTTGCATTGTTTTTAAATTTTGTATCTAGATCTGCCAAAATCGAGTCTAACAATAATTAAATAGGTATACGACGCTCAATTCTTGTGTGAAGTGTTTACTGTGGACCCAGAAGAAATATGCGACGGCAGCCCTGCCCCGTAGCCAAAAGAAAAGGGCTTGGATGCTAATGCAAGATTTCGTGCCACTTCTGCAGAAGGCCGCCGCTGACGCTGACGCCGACCCAAACGAAAACCAAATTACTTAACCTAGAAATTAAATTAGAAGCGAAAAAATACAGAATATCCGCATGTATGTATGTACGACACAAATATTCTCCCATGCGATGCTTCTGTTGGTTAAAAATTGGCATTTCAAATTCCACGCACATATTCCATTAAAGTCGTTGGCGTAATTTTTTTTTAATTTCGGATTGGGTCCCTTTTTTTCGCAGCAGAAACAGAGCGGAGCGGAGCGAAGCGAAGCAGTGCAGAGCAGTGGCAGCAGCTGCTTTAAGAAGCCAACACTAGAGAGAAGGAGTTGGGTGGGCATCGACGGCCCGGCCACTGTGTGCCAATCAAATTGAAATTTAATTTGCACAACAATGCGGCAGGAGCAACCCGAAACTTGACCTGAGACCTGAGAACTGAGAGGAGAAAGCGCTAAGCGCCTTAAGCGCCAGCCCACTGCGAAATTATGAACAACCCCATCCACCCATCATAATGCTCCTATCCCATATACTCGTACCTACGTATATTCGGCTGTGCCTTTATCGGCGGATGGAGCTCACTCGAGTGTGCCCCGCCTCCCGTTAGCAGTCCATAAAATTGTGATTTACTCCCGTTGAGATTTCAATTACTGCCGCTTTATTGGCAATAAATTTCCGTATAAATTAGGCGGGAAAAACTTTCAATCCAGCCGAGTGGCCTGCGTCCGAAAGGGTTAAACAAAACGAGAATTGGCCGCACGTAGCCCCAAAGGTAGAGCCAACCCGGAAAGCGTCCTTTGGCTAACTGTGGAGACAACAAATAAACCAGCATCAGCGGGCGGTCTTTTCAAGTGCAATAGCAGCCGACTGGCTGATACCTATCAATGTGTACGTATCAGCTGAAGAGCAATCGAGGCAATTGAAAGGATCGAATAGAAGTCAAACCAGGCTTTTCCGGCTGTTCTCGTACATACCTAAAGTGTATGTACATATCTCAATGTATTTTATTGGTTTAATTCATGCCAAACATAATACAATTCACATTCCAACTCATTTAATAACTTAGACCCTGTCCAATATAATATAGTCCATAAAGATCACTGCATGTACATTTGTATGTATTACATCAACCTAACCTTAAGCAATCGCAATATTTCCTTAGTGAGCTTGAGACATCAGTAGCTAAAGCTAAAACTCACATGTTCATTTTTAGTCACATTATTTCGATGTGCTGTAAATATTAATGAAAAAAAAATAAATAAAAAATATATATAAAAAAAATATAAAAATAAATAAATAAAAAATATATATATATAATATAATATAATATGCACCAGTTATGTGCTTATTAATGTACGCAGACCATTTGAAATATTTCACTGGTCTGATCATAACCCAAGTAGAACGGCTGTTAGACTAATCTTTCTAGATTACCAGTCCAGTTGAATCAACACGAATGACTGGATTTGGAGAAGGTGGCGCGACCTAGTGATCGATTTTATGCGGGGATCAGGGCTGGAGAATTCATAACAATTCTTGATTTTAATTTATCGTTTTGAAATAAACGTTTTCATTCGTAAACTGTCATACATACTAGATTAACTGTCATACAAAGCGCTGCCGCAGGTATAAGCAGGAAATAATTACACCAACTTTTAGAAAAAATAAAATTAAAATTTGCATTTTAAATGGCAATATTGTCCTACATTTCCATATATTGCCATACAATATATTCATTCGCTCAGAAGTTAATAATTTAGCAAGCTACAACGGCGGCACCAGTCAAAAGATTGGTCTTGCCCAATATGCTCGATGGCTGCCTCAGCAGGAGAAGAGGAATAAAAACTGATTGCCTTGTACGGAAGTCCTTTGACGACTTTGTAAATTCCTGGCCGATACAAAGCACTGACCAACAAAGGCAATTCTGTTGTCTTTCGTTCTATTTTTATTGGGCTCGCGACCCACAGCTCACCTTAAGGGTGTTTTCAACCAAAGAATGGAGAGAATGCACTGCGGTCAGTTCACGGACAGAAGATCATGGGAATGGCATCTATTCTGCGTATCGATGTTAATGAGTGTTTGTTTATTGTGTGTATTAATCTATGCTTATCACAATCGGACATCTGCTTCCTAGGGAATCCACTTGCAGGTTACAGGTACTGGGAATCGGCATAGTTGTCGCGGAACTCCAGCAGCTTGTCCAGGGCCGTTTCATACTCCTCCCGATCGACAGCCGACTGGGAGTACGACTGCAGCTTTCCAATTTGGACACGATGGGTCTGGGCATGGAGATTATCGAGGTGGTCGCCAAGTTTTGTGGAGTTCTGCAGGGCAGCCAGCAAGGGAGTGGAATTCACTCGGTGGTTTGACTCGCGTTCCCCACCCCCAGGCACCTTGAAGCCGTCCGTAGCGATGTTTGGCTCGAAAAGCTCGTAGGGGAACGGCAACTTGGTCTTCAAGGGCAGGGGAGTGGAGGCAGCATTGGTGACGCTGCCATGGAAGCTGCACTGGTAGTACAGCTGCAGCATCTGAGAGACGCTGTTGCAGCCATAGGCAGCCATCCGTAACTGGGGCCCCGCCGTCTCCTGGGGACGCTTCAATCGGCTGGTAGGGATTCCGCGGGCCATCAGCGAATGCACCACGTAAGAGGTACCAGCCTCGCAGCCCGGCGTCAGCTGGGTCAACAGTGAATGGTCGCCGCTCTGGTCCAGATAGTCGATCAGGTCCTGCTCCTGCTGCATCCCAAAGGGCAGGGCCATGGCAGCTGCCGTCAACTTTCGGCCAACCGGGCAGACACTCTCACAGAACCGCACCAGCGACTGGGGCGTCTGGCGCAGACGGTAGCTGAGTGTCATGGTGTCCATGAAGGCGGCGAGCACAGCCGAAGTCTGGTAGAGGTTGCCTGACTGCCATTCGAGGCCCGGCAGGCGACGCGACTGCAAGGTGTTGTTCCGCCAGATGGTCTCCAGCGTGGACAGCGGCGTGAACATCGTGGCCTGCTCGCTGAGATGGTAGTAGCTCAGCACGCTGTTCACCACGCGAATACTGTGGGCAGTCCGGGGATCTATCAGGATGAAGTTGGTACGCAAGTTAAATGGGAAACTAACACAGAATTGCAGTGCCGCCTACCTGCTTGGTTATATGAAGGCATCCGTGGGTAGTGCAACGGCAGAACAAAACTCACGCGACCATATTCATCGTTCAAATGTTCCATGCACTTGCTGGCCAGGCCACTGAAGCCGTCATCTATGTCAAAGAGGATGTGGAAGCCCTGCAGCCCCTCACACTCCTCCGCGTATTGGCGAATGCGATTGCAGAAGTCCTCGTTGAAAGCTTCCCCATCCCAGATCTCCTTTCCAGCTGCTTGTGTGGCCAAGGCCTGGACATCGCTGTCGCGAATTAAATCCGGCAGAACATTGAGCGTGCGCGGATGATACCTGGCGTACAGATAGTCAGCCCAGCTGCGCGTTGTATCGGCCAGTTGGTAGTCCTTGTCGGGAGCTACGACTCCCTGAAGCAGATCCCGCTGGTACTCGGATATCGGCACTTGCGGCTGCTCGCGCACTTCCAACTGATCGACGGTGGAGAGGCTGTTCTGCTCCGCACTCTGCTTAATCTTCTGCAGATTATTGCCCATTGTGAGGGGCAACAGCTCTTCATTGCGCTGCACATAGTTGCCATACAATTCTCCGACTATGGGCAGATGGGCCAAGTTGCCAGCCAGGTCAACGGAGAGCAGACGAGGCGTATAGGTAGTCTGGCCATAGTCGTTGAGGCCTTCTCTGTACAGTACATCGTTTTGCGGCAGCTGTTCCTCGGCCACCTGGTTGCCGGGGCCGTCATACACAAAGTTTGCCTCCTACAACAAGCATAAAAAGCATTGGATTGGGAAGTGACAGTGGCAGTGGCTTCACGGGCTCACCTGCTGATTCCAGAAGTGTGCACCAACATAATTGGCATAGGTGCCGAACTGGAAACTTAAAATCTCACGTGTATAGTCCATAATGTAGACCAATATGACTAATTTGGACAGAAATTGCAGCAGCCGCGCCACTTGCACAAACACTATCGATGGAGTGAATATCGATGTGTGCAATCGATATCTGTAACGATAGCGAGCGCGCAATTGAAAGAATTGAAGGAAATCCAGCACACAAATTGTATTTATTTCATTTTATCCGTACAATCTGCTGTGTAACTTAGTTTTCTATTTGTTGAGTATGAGGGAGATGTAACAGTTCCAGATAAGGGCAATGAACTGTGCGTAGATAACTTGGTACGGCAGTGGGACAAACGTGAAGTTCACGAACTGTGCCGCCGGCCATAGCATGTAGTTCTTAATCATAATCGAGAAGTAGCTTTCCCGAATGCGCTTCTTAATCTTATCCGTATCCTCGCCGTTGACGAAGGGCACCACGAACGACATGGCCAGTGTGAAAGTCGGCGCAAACACGGTCTGGTCGATTGCCATCTTCTTTATTCCGCGCCTCAGTGACGGCTGATCCTTGCTCACCATCGTCTCCAGCGTCAGGTACCATTTGCGTAGAATCGGGCCAACAAGCACCAGACCAAGAGCACTGAATCGAGCCGTTCGTCCAGTATCCCATTGCTGCAGCGTCTTCTTCTCGACGAACAGCTGGGCCATGGTATCGCCGGCTCCCATAATTGCGGCCACGTTCAGACCCTCCCGTAGATAGGCTCGTAGCGCCATGCTTTTTTGTTTCTGTTCGGCACACCTGTGCAGCGAGGCAAACGAAATGAATGTGAATTTTTGATACGGCTTTTGTATTTGAAACCTATTCCAAATACATTCCGAGTTTGTTTGGTTAATTTTGGACACGGAAAAGGGTTGTCAAGGCCCTTCAATTTTTAGGATTTCCAAACACATTCCGGAAGGTGTCGAAAGCAACGCTGATTCAATTTGATTTCCATTCAGCTCTCACCTGCACTGTCAGGATAAGAAACTCCTGCATGTTAAGTGGAATCAGTCGACGTTAACAGAGAAAAAAATACGTATGTATAATACAGACCCCCACACCAGCTTTGCTTCGTCTACCCCTGCTTGTCCCACATTGGGTCAATTCGCTCCAGCGGCAATCAAATACAACAAAAATAATCAAACTGAATTCTTTTTAGTTTATTTCCTTATGTGAACGACTGACTCTTTTCTTCCCTCACATCCAATCTTTCCATACTCGAAATTTATTCATAAAACTGGACATAACATAACAAAAAAAAAAATTTAAATGATATCCTATCCGGAGTCTAGAAACGTTTCAATTCAGTTTGAGCTGATTTCGATTACTAGGCAGTTACTCTTATTAGTTACATTAAATCTATCTCATTGCCATTTGTTTAGACTTCTCCATTGGGTATCAGCTTCTTTCGTTTCTTTTGTGACGCCCCATCGGCGCCGTTATGGCTTGCATATTTCAGGTCTCCATTCGATTTGACCTCTCCATTGGCTGTGCGCTTTTTTGGCTTCTCAACTGACGAGAGCTGATCTCGTGAGATCGGTTCCTTTTGTGTGCTGTGCTTCTTTTTTATCCGTACTTCTTTGTCGCCGCTGGTGAGGTCCCCGAGGTTGTACGTCGGCACATTCGTCTTCATAAAGTCTGGCGTAACGCCGGTCAACACCGATTGACGCACATCGAACTCCTTCTCCTCCAGAGTCTGTGTAGTTCCCTGAATCTGCTTGCGAATCTTGTAAAAGTTTCCATTGCGTCGCAGAAACGCTGATGTCTCTGTACTTTTATTAATCGCTTCAATCAGGTTTCGTGAAACGGCTTTGGGCACCTTGATGCGCTTCTTGTAATCACGGCCGAAGAACGGATGGCGAACAGGCTTCATAAAGATCGGTGGGGGTGCGGTAGTTGGGAACGAGTTGTCCTCCTCGATGGCACTAGGCTGCGCCACATTCAGACGCTTGCTGAGCACCACAACGCCACTGATGGGAATTTTGCTAACTCTATTTTTTCCCTTGACATTCGTATAGCCAATGGATTCAGAGGACGGTGTCGTATATTCGGTGCCCCGCACTTGGAGCTCGCCCACGAAGCGACGTCCGGGCATCTTGATGCGCTTCCCCTCCAGCAGACTGGGATCCAAACTCTTTGGGCATTGCAATATCCAGGCGTCGTGCGTTTGGGCATCAAACTCCTGAAGTCCAAGACCGCAGCAGCTATTTTTAGCGCTGCTCGGCTTAAGAGCTTCGCAATCGTTTTCTTCTAAAAATTCATGGATTAGCTGTTTGGCGTGTTTCCGTAGATTCTTTTTGTAATCTTTCTCCATTAGGATATACAAAATAAACTATATAATAAATAATTAAAAACAAACTGCGCCGCCTATCTGCACGCACGTGCTTGGTTCTACTAGTGTTGCAGAGCGTGAAAGTACCAGCTGCTACGAGTATCGATATGGAAAAATACTGCATTTATTATTGTGGTGCAGTTTTCTATGCAATTCCACCGTCAATTACAGCTTAAGTGACTTATTATCAAATCGTATCTTTTATTTATAAAATACAACGTCCAATTTTTTTATATTTTGATTTCGTCATATATCGTCAGATAAGTGGTGCACCAACGTGTACTGTGCAACACTCAAACATCGTTGATGGGATATTTTATTCTTTTTGGTATATTATTAAGGATATACCGAACAGATGAAGGTATTTAGTGGTATATTTCATCCATTTTGTGGTAAATCGGGGTACAAATTCGCTCAGACAATGTTAAATTGACAGTTTCCAATGCATCATATGCAAGATTCCTCTGTGAGGTACATTCAGCAGATACCAGCATTACAACTATCTCAAAACGTACATATATTCTTATCGATATTTCCACGGTCGGTCACACTGATTTTTGGACATGAAAACATGTGCACGTTTTAATGCAACACATTTTAAAAATTTGCAGCAATGAGCAGTACAGAAAAGATACCAAAGTTTCATGAGCTCGAGTTGGACCATCGCGTCCTCAAGGTAGTAGTGAAGAATCTGACGCGTATTACGCGGTTACTCAATTTTCTATTCGTCTTGCAGGCAGTGTCGAAGCTGGGATGGGAGCAGCCCACGCTGATCCAGGGCACGGCTATTCCGCTGCTGCTTGAGGGCAAGGATGTTGTGGTTCGCGCTCGCACTGGCTCCGGGAAGACGGCCACCTATGCCCTGCCGTTGATACAGAAAATTCTTAACTCTAAGCTCACTGCCACCGAACAATGTGTGAGCGCTGTGGTATTGGCCCCAACCAAAGAGCTGTGCCGGCAGTCGCGCGCAGTCATCGAGCAGCTGGCTGAATTTTGCCACAAGGTTGTGCGTGTTGCGGACATTTCTGGCACAACAAGTAATACTGCGACGGAACGACATGCCCTCGCCGAGCGCCCCGACATTGTTGTGGCCACTCCAGCCAAGCTTCTGACCCATGCCAAGGCCGACGGTGTATTGGACCTGAAGAAAGTCGAGACTCTGGTGGTGGATGAGGCAGATCTGATATTTGCCTTCGGCTATGAAATGGATTTCAAGGCATTGCTAAAACATCTGCCTTCCATATACCAATCGGTGCTCGTCTCGGCCACACTTTCAGACGACGTGGTACGCATGAAGGGTCTGTGCCTCCACAATCCCGTCACGCTAAAGCTGGAGGAGCCCGATGTGGTGTCGCAGGATCAGCTCACCCACCAGCGCATCCTCGCCGAAGAGAACGACAAGCCGGTCATCCTTTACGCCTTGCTCAAGCTGCAACTCATACGCGGCAAGACCATTATATTCGTCAACACCATCGATCGCAGCTACAAGTAAGTTAAAAGCGAACCCCTGCTCCTGAAGCCCTCAAGTTGAGTCCCACATGATGTTAAACCCAAAGTGAAAGGGAGTGCGCATCTGGCAACAGTTGGCGCACGCATGACCAGAAACTAATCTTCTCGCTGATGGATCAGACAGCCCCCCACGAGGCCAGACCATGAAAGCTTTTATTTAACCCCACTTACGCCTTGCTTGCAGGATTCGCTTGTTTTTGGAGCAGTTTGCCATACGGGCCTGCGTTCTCAACCCTCAGCTGCCGGCCTCGATTCGCATCAACATGATCAGCCAGTTCAACAAGGGCACCTACGACATCATCATTGCCTCCGATCAGCATTACCTAGAACGGCCTGATAACGGATCCCAGGACAAGCGCAAGTGCGCGCGCGGCGATTTCGAGTCGAGTGCCTCGCGTGGCATCGACTTCCAGTCGGTGAACAATGTGATCAACTTTGACTTTCCGCTCGATGTTACCTCCTACATTCATCGCGCTGGACGCACGGCCAGAGGCAACAACAAGGGCTCTGTTCTGTCCCTCGTTAGCATCAAGGAGTCTGGCGTAAACGATGCCGTAGAGAAGAAACTTCGAGTGACCTTCAGTGCCAAAAAGGGCGACACGATCATTAAGTAAGCTTGCGAGAATCTGTAAGCCCATCTGTAAGCAAGCTAAATATTTTCTTTTCGCAGAAACTACCAATTCAAAATGGACGAGCTGGAGTCCTTCCGCTACCGTGCCTACGATGCCTGGCGTGCTGCCTCCCGGGTCGCCGTCCAGGAGACGCGCTTACGCGAAATCAAAACCGAGGTGCTCAACAGCGTGAAGCTCAAGGGCTACTTCGAAGATCATCAGCGCGATCTGAACGCTCTGCGTCACGACAAGCCTCTGCGCATCCTGAAAACGCCCACCCATTTGTCCGACATGCCCGAGTACATGGTCCCCAAGGTACTTAAGCGTGTCGTCGCCTCTAAAGCCTCTGGCCCTGCCAACGAATCCTCCTCGGACTCCAAACGACCTCGTCAGACGGCCGCCAAGGCAGCCTACGACCGAAAGACCAACGATCCCCTAATGGTTGAGTTTGGCAATCGGCGTCCCAACACCAGACAAAAAAAGAAGAAACCCTTGTAGGTGAGGGGTTCTGAACACGCGTATGTTATATATTATAGTTATATGTGTAAGCTTTTAGTCTGTAGTCTGTCTGGAATAAAAAATGCCTATATTAGCAGTTGAAAATCGTTCATAGATAATATAAACCTCATGTGTCCCTGAGATGGATTCAGAAATTGTTATCTTGCACTGAGAAGGGGAAATTTGGAGTGGAAAAAAAAACCAACAAAAGAAACAAAAATGAAAGAGATGGAAGCATAAGCAGATAGCGTATCCCTTTCAATTGCGTGTGGAATGCGAGTGCGAGTGCTGCAATCGGCAGGCATCATTAGGGAAATTTGCCAAATTATGGCTCTCAGATGATAAATAAACTCATTAGCATTAGTGCCTGCAAATCATCTCCGCGAGATGATTACCCAATCAACTGTACATATGTACATATGTATATATGTGTATGTGACAGACAAATGAAATTTTCACGGGATGAGTTTTCGTTTTTAACATTTTATTATTGTCATTGAAATAGTTAACATTCATACAATTATTTATTTATAGCGTTTATGCAATACAATAATAATAGCAATCATGAGAATATACAAAAGAAAACAATCGCTTCGGTCCTGCTGTTCGAATCGAATCAAATCAAATCGCGACAATTGCCTTTCTGCTACCAAGTCCTGTGTCTGTCTGTCTGTCTGTCTTTCTGCCAGGGATTCTCATCTCCCTGGGACTTGGCCAGGCACACTGAAACTGAACGATCGGAACGAGAAACGCGAAACGGAAACAGAAACAGTGGGACAAAAAGAAGGCGGCAAAGAGATTCTCGCGGTTCCTTCAACGCGGCATTTCAATCAACTATCGTAGTAATGACTTTTATAATATCGCTTTGCTACTCGCTAACATATACATATGTGTACATAAATACATAGTATATAATGTTAATTTAGTCATAATCATAATAATAATAATAATAATAGGATGTGTTAGGTTTAGGTATGCGCGGTTATCCCTGGTTCCTAATGGTGGATGCTCTCTCTCTCTCTCTTTCTCTCTGGCCACTGCAGACCACGGGCAGTATTTGACTATTTTGGAGTGGATGGTTTGGGGCTACGAGCCGAGGGCACATTTCCCCGGACTCTTCCCCTCACTATACTCTCTCTCTCTCTCTCTTTTCTCTCTGTCTGTCTGTCTGTCTCTATCTCTATGTGTATGATCGTAATGGTTTGGGATCGTAAGATTAAGGAGGAACGGAACATAAAAAAACAACAAAAACAATCAAATTAAATCGCAAGTTGAACAGAAGGTGGGGAGCAACGAAAGGGAAAGGAAAGGCAACGAAAGTTCGGACTAAAATGCAGCCATACACATATGTACACATACTCTATGCATATATATATATATATTGTTACATATATGTATGTATTTCTATAAACGTTTTGCTCTCATTATGTGTATATATATATTCATATACTGTATAGATTTTGTTTTAAATTACGACGCTAAAAAATTTTCTCGTCCTCACAATCTAATATCTTGTGATCTTCGATTGCTCCTACTCTTCATTTGTTTTTTTTTTTCGTTCTTCGTTTTTTTTGTTTTTTGTTATTTTGTTTTTATGATTTCTATGGGGGATTTTTTTTTTTGTAACACACATACAGAACTCGTTTTAATTTATTGGTTGCAACAAGACATCAAAATATCATACATATTTTCATTAGAAAAACATTTCCCCCTCATCAATCCTGCTGTCTATGGTTGTTTTTCCTCCTCCAGCTGCTGTCCTCCTCCTTTTTTGTGGGTGTTGGGAAGCGGGATGTGGACTTTGGACTGTGGATTGTGGGTAGAGTGCGATATTAGGGAGGATCAAGGGGGAGAAGGAGGTGCTTTCTGGCTTGCGCTTGGTATATAAAAACAGTTCCATATATACGCGAAAACTAGACGCAGATCTCGTAAACATTAAGAATGGATAACAAACAGAATAAAAAAGCCTGAAGCGAGCACAATTCCCTGGCGACATATTCATCATCGTGGTGGTAAGTCCTCCGTCGCTCTCACCACCGCCGGTTCTGTACGGTGTGCCGTGTGTCTGTACAGTGCGCGTCCATCCAGAGTGCTGGGCCGCCAGCAGGCTTAGATGGGGACGTAGTTGCCTTTGGGCTTGTAGAAGAGCTGGCCGCGCATCAGGCGTCGCCGGATTTCAGAAAGCAGCAGGCGCTTCTCCTTCTTGATCTTCTTCAGCACGCCCTTGTTCTCCTGGGCGCGACGCGACAAGTATGGCAGCACCTCCTCAACGGGTCCATAGGGGATGTACTTGTAGGCGGAGTAGCCAGCTTGCCCTGTGGTTCGAATCGAGCATTACGGAACATTAAGAGCTGAAAAATGGTGTGCCAGGTGGCAAAGACTGGAACTCACCCAGGGGGAAGGTGATGTAGTCGCACATCCCCAGCAACTGGCCAAAGCAGATCACCTTGTCCTCGGGCGAGATGCCGATCTGATTCATCTGCTCGATGGCGAAGCGCACGGTGTCCTCGTTGTGGGATGCCACCATGATGCCGATCTTCCTGGCATCGTCGCCGCAATCCTTCATCAGCTGCAAGCATGGATGCATGGAGGGGGATTACAACAACAGAATGGGAGTTGGACTCACCTTGATGCGACGCAGGCACTCGGACAGCGTCTTATGGTACATGTCAGTGGTCGCCTCGTATGTGGGATTAACGGGATCCGGATAGCCGAGGGCCTGGGCACGGGCACGCTCCTGATCCATGTAGGCGCCGCGCACCAGCTTGGCGCCAAAGTAGAAGTTCTGACGCTTGGCCTGCTCCAGGTCGGTGCCGACCTCACGGAACGTTTCGCGCAGATAGCACTGATAGGTATTGAAGACGATGGCCTTGTCCTTGTTGTACTTGCGCATCATCTCCAGCGTGATGCGCGAAATGGCTGGCTGGAAGTAGGTCTGCTCCGCATCGATCATGATGCGCACGTCCAGCTCGGCAGCAGTCTGCGAATATATCAGATATCAGTATTCAGATTCCGATTTCCTGTGGAACTCAATCCGCTCACCTTTACAATCGTGTTTAGACGACGAATCATATTCCTAAACATTTCCTCCTCTTTGGGCGGTATCTGTGAGATCAGTCGGCGCATCTGGCCGGTCTGGGGATCGGGAACACGGAACGTGTCGCTCAACTGCGAGTCCTCGTCCACGATTCCCGACCAGGGGAACAGATGCAGGATGCTAAAATGCAGAGATAAACAAAGAAATCAGCTAAACGTGCGACAGGCTTCCTCCAGTGTCCTAACTCACCCCTCCTTGTCCGAGGTCACATTCTTGAGAAAGTCCTGCACGTTCTTGTTGTCGCCCAGCGTGGCATAATACTTCTCGAGATCCTTGATGGTCTTGTGATGGGTCAGCACATTGCCCTGCCCGCCCACCAGATCCTCCATATACTTGCGTGTGCGCATGATAACCTCAGACAGTTGCAGCTAATGGGAACAGAGATCGGTTGATGCAGATTACAGGATTACACGATTTATCGTACTTGGGGGAAGGGGTTGCACTTACCAGCAATTGCGGACGGCCCAGGGCGGTGAGCTTGATGGCCGTGATGCCAGTACCAAATGTAGCCCCTGTTGTGGTGTGTGAGAAACATTGGCACGAGATTAAAAATCAGGCGATGCATTTGACATTGATTGGTAAGCAGTATGCAGATTCTACAGAGACGTGCATGCGATATCTACGTATCTACGTATCTACTTATCTGCTAGGTTAGTCCAAAGCTACAGATGCCAAAGCTACTAAGCCAGAAACAGTGTACCATTTCAAGATCTACTAAACTAACTAACTAAAAATGCACACAAATTATGCCAACGGATTTACACTCTATTTACTATTTACACTCTTTGTGTACATTTGAGATACTTTTGGGTTTGGTTTTGGTTTTGTTGGATATTGTTTTGCCTTACCCGTGGCGGTGGCACGGGGCACCTTGCGATCATCGTCTTATTGTTAGGGATATTTTTGGGATTTTTGCATTTATTTTTGATTCGGTTATTGTCGGGGATTTGTTTTCAGATTCGTTATTGGTGCCATATACCAGTATACCATTTACCATTTTTTCGAGGGAGAGGGGGGGTAGGCGGAAGAAAACTTAAATTATTTTACTTGATAAAATTACGTTGCTCACAAAGATGATAGAGAGAGAAGGATAGAGAAAGTCTAGCGGAGTGTGGGGGAAAACCCTGTTCCTGCTGAAGGAGGAGGAAATTCGCTTAAAGTTTCTTTGAATGGTATTCTTAAATTCATTTAACACTCAATTGATTTTAATTGTCGCTTTGAAGGTTTTGGCTTAGCATCAAAATGAAAGAGTTGATAATTCCGAAACCAGTTTTAATGGGAATCATCTATGTAGGTATCTATGAATCTACGAGTAGCTAAAACGGAACCGAACCCATTACCAGATGACTGTGGTCAAAGACTATTAAATACCAAGAAATTGCATCGAGAACGAATTCCATTTCAATGCTCGTTCGATGATTCGTGGTACAGCAGCACGGGGTACTGGTACTTAAATTCTCTCTTATTGTTTTTGGCTGGCCCCCCCGCGGCCCAACCCCTGGTGGGCCATAATCGTTGCATAATGCAAAATCTTGGTGATTGTATGGTCTTTGCTTTGGTGCAAAACATAAAATATTTAAAAAAAGATTTCATGCAAACACAAAACGTTGCGAGTTTAATGCATAAATTAAAATGCTAAGGATTTGGTGGCCTGCTGCTAAGTCAGACATCGTTTTGTGGGAGTGGAAGCGCTTCAAAGGAGCCATCAGTTTGGGCGATGGCGGAGAGGTGGTGTTACTCACCCGAAACAGCCTCCAAGCACTTGATGAACGTCTCCATGTTGCGTTCGCAGGTGGCCTCGTTCAGATAGAAGTAGGTGCGGGCACTGCTCACCTTGTAGCGCCGGTCGGCGAACGATTTGTCCACATGATACTGGGGCATGGTGCCTTCCCCCTTGTTATCGCCCGCACTCGAAACGGAGGATCTGCAAGCACACACACGAAGTGGGAACAGGTGTTAGAAAATGGACAGATTGGAGACTGGGGACTGGGGACGGGACGCCATTTGATGCAC